CCCCCCCTTCACCACCACCACCACCCACCCTCCCTCAACTCCAGAAAAGAAAACCACCAGTCTGACAGGAGCATAAAGGAAACGATGGGAGTGTAATCAATCAAAAACACAGCCGCTCAAATAAAGGGAGACAAGAGACACCACCCGCCCACTAGCAGCCTGTCCCGACCACCACTGCTGCCCCTCGTCATTGCTTCAAACCTTTGCCACCGTTGGTCTACGAAGATCAAAAGCACCACTCCAGTCACCGATCAGGCTCCACATCTGACTGACGAACAAGAGGTATAATCTATATTTTTGGTTGTTTGACCAATTTCAGTGGACACCAGATGCTTTGTCTGCATCATTACACTGGACAAACTAGGAAGACCATAAAGCCACAATGAGACAGAGTGTCCAGGGCCGACGAGAACAACATAAACCCACACACTCATCTCTCCATCTTTTTCTTAAATCAGCCTCATTTTTTGCAATCCAAGATCAGGACTCAAGAGCTGCCCTTTCAGAGCATGTGAGACACAAAAACACTCTATATGTCTTTCTTTTTTTTATTGGCATCTATGAGGGGGAAAACAAAGCCACAGTATGTCTGTTGAATCACTCAAGACAAAGGCAAGTCTATTTGCCATGAGATCACCACTGTGAGGGAACTCCTGGATGTTTCCTTGTATGGGCACATATAAACATATCATAGCCACGGTTTGGAAGCTTCAGTTTGGTGTGACAGCTACAAAAGCACATAAGAGCTGGTGCGCTTGGCAATATATCCACACAGACACATTCATATATGTATGAAACGAGAAAAAACTAACAACCAGAAAAAAAGGCATTCACACACCTGCTGAGAGTGAGGAAAGTTTCTAATGGCTCTCGCCCTTGCTGGCTCGCCTTTGCAACCTGGGCTGTGAATGAAGCAGTCTAAATCCAAAATGCATGCAGGTGCATTTTGGATTTTTAAAACAGCAGTTTGCACACAGCGCTGGAATACTTTTCTGATCTTCGTGAAAAATTCTGTTTTGACTTTCCAACCCCCAGAAAGAACAGGCAGCCATACAGCTGATAGGGATACAGTGACAAGCCCAAGGACAATGAAGGCAGAGGGCATGCTGAATCACTGCCTTCGTAATCTGTGAAAAGGCCACATTTCACTCCAAAGGAGACACAACATTCAAAGGGTGCCGGTCGTGGTTTGCGGAAGCCTGGCTGCAGTCACCGGCCGCAGTGTGTGGTGATGCAGAAAGCCCTAATCTGCCCACACAGTGACAGTCTTCTCTGCAGATCGTTGAGAGGCCGCCTGTCAGCCACAGCAATGGGCGCATCTCACGGGAGCAGTAGAAAGACCTGTGTAGGAGGACAAAGATGAGTGAGAGCACCCTGGGCAAAATCTTAAACGTGGACACAGCTGGCTTTTCTCAGATGTGAACAATGCCGCCTTTGTTTCAAGAAAAACTGCAGGGGTAACAACCATTTGCTTTTTGCTTTTTTGCAGCAGCAGCAGGAGCTCAACAGACAACCAGGTCTGCCTCTCTCACGCTGCACTGTGCCTATAGGTTTCATCGTAAATACCCATAAAGCCGTGATAATATCAGAATAACAGCAAGTGACAATAATCCAATACAAGCTCGCCACCCATCCTGAAACGCGCATTGTCAATTTCACAAAGTGCAATTCTGTGTAATGTTAGGGGAGGTCATGCTCATACTTGTTCTTTAATCCAATTTTTCCCCCTTTTATTCTTTTGGAGAACAGGCGTCGAGTTGTCCGCTAGGTGGCGACCTTGGTCCGGTGCGGCTCGCTCACCTCGGACTCGCCTGGAGCCGAACTATCAGCACAGTGAGAGTGCTGCGAGCGCGCAGGACTGAGACTGACGCAGTGCATTTCACTCCCATACTGGAGAGTTCAGGAGCGCTTTCTGCAGTTAGTTAAGGTGTTGCTTTTTCTAAACCCCAAACACACACACACACCAGGCAGATTGTATCTTGTAGCTCACAGTCAGTGTGAGTTGGACAAATGTGCTCTATGATTCCCAGTCTCATGCGTCTGAACTGTAGTGACCACTGTTTGGTGTGTGCAGAGGTGTGTGCCTATTTGTGTGAGTGTGTGTGTGTGTTGGGGGGTAGTTAATGATTATTTCCCCCCGTCTCTTCTCTTCCCACCCCCAGTTCTTCTCGTTTCCTATATGGATTGACGGAGTCCGCGTCAGAGCGCACGGAGTGGACCCGCCTCCTGGCTGTGGAGCGCTCGGTGCGTTTCTCTTCCCCCTCTGTCCGCTTCAGACCCATATTCCACTGGGAGAGAGAGAGGAGAGAGAGCGAGGGAGTGAGTGAGAGTGTGTGTGTGAGAGAGTGAGAGAGAGAGACAGCAGGACCTGGGAGAAGAGCACCGAAAGAAAAAGAGGAGAGGGGAAAAAACGCAGCACCGACACAAATGGCACTCATGGCAGGGATTTTGTTCACGGCCACTTTTCTTATTTCTGGGATTTCTACATCTCTTTCTTCGTCACGGATATATCCCCCAAATGAAGGTAAGGTCGCTGGGAGGAAAATTAACTGCGGCGGGACTTCATCCCCGCTCCCCCGCGTCTGTGCGGCTTTTGCGCCGCGGAGGCTCACTTCGCCGAGCCCCAGTAGTTGCGAGTGCGTGGAGCCGCGACGAGTTGGGTCACCTTTACGCACTCAGCGGCTTCTGCGGAGCTTTTATGCGAGCGAAACTGGAGTGAGAAGTGCCTGACCGAGCGCGCATCCGTTGTTTTGGAGTCGGACTTGGATCGTGCCAGCTGCGGAAAGCCTGGGAGTACTGATACTTTTGCCCCCTCTCCCCTCCAGCAATACGTGCTGTTTTCTGTAGGACAGTGAAGGAGACATCTG